CCCCCCCTTCGCGCCTCTGCGGTGTCCTGGTTGGGGCCAAGGGGTGACCCTTCGGCGAGCGGCTCTCCGACGGCCTGCCAGCTCTCATATGGACGTCTCTCCTCCGTCTCGCCGGCTGTCCAGGTCCCCTTCTCGCGCCTGTCGACGCGTTTCAGCCCGATCTCCTCCTCCGGGACAGTGACACATGGCCATCTCCGTCGCCAGCTCGTCCGGCAGCCCGTCGCGCTCCTTCTTCGGTTTGTTCCCCGAGCCTGAGAAGGCTCCCCCGTCGCCTCCGCCGAAACTGAGCATGTGGCAGCGATTGGGACTGGCACGATGGCTGCATCGAGACGACAGCCCGCGCTCCAGCTCGCCCGGCGACGTCCCGCGCAGCCGCAGCAGCAGCACCAGCAAACCGCTCGCCAGCAACCTCACCCGCCGCCTGTCCCGCAAGGTCGGCGTCGGCCTGCCCCGGCCTCCCACCTTCAGACGCCAGACCTCCGAGCGACGAGATCGTCTGGCCCCGGCCGATCCTGAGCCCCGCCGCGCCCGTTCCGCGGAACGTCGCCGGACCCTCAGCGCCCAGCGGACGACGACGTCTCCACCCCCCGCCTCCGTTGCCGCCAGACTCTCCGCCCCCGAGGTCCAGTCGTGGGCCGGTGACGATGTCCAGGAGACAGTGCCGGACGAGGGCCCGGCCGCGCACGATGGCTTTCAGGACGTGCCGGATCCCGCCGGTGATCTCGCCCATACGGACCCGGAGCCGTACCTCCACGACGTCTACGACCGGCCCGAGGACGGGGAGGACTCGCTTGAAGCGGAATTGGAGAAGAAATGGATCCTCAACCTGAGCATGCACTTCCGGGACAAGTCGGAGCGCGAGAAGTTCTTCGTCACCTACGCCGAAACCCCCAATCGATGGCGGCGAGTCACCATTTCCTGCGACTATCGCGGCGCGCCGCCGGACTCGTTGGAGCAGGACCTGAAGGAATTGCACTACCAGCGCGATAAGAGCGCCCGCATCTACGAATCCATCCGTGAGTCGCTCCCGGAGATCCAGTTCTACGACACGGTCACGAACCTCAAGCTCGAAACGAGCGACGGCCGCCTCCACGTCCACGTTACCGAGGACGTCAACGAGATCATTCCCTACCCGCCCGTCTCGAGTGTCCGGCATCTCGGGGCCCGCCTGGTGCCCGAGTATAAGCTCCATTTTGACGCCCATCTGTCGGGGTTTGTTTACCGGATCCTGCTGGACGGCAAGCCATATATCAAGAAGGAGATCCCCGGTCCCGATACGGTGGACGAGTTCCTGTACGAGATCAACGCTCTGCACGCCCTGAGCGGTGCCTCCAGCGTGGTCCAGGTTGAGGGCATCGTCGTGGACGACTACGGAGAGAGGGTCAAGGGTCTACTGATCAGCTACGCCGAAAAGGGCGCGCTCGTGGATATCTTGTATGACTACAGAGGACAGCTGCCGTGGGCGCGGAGAGAACGCTGGGCGAAGCAGATTGTGCAGGGTCTCTGCGAGATCCACGAAGCCGGCTACGTCCAGGGCGATTTTACGCTCTCGAACATCGTCATCGACGCCGACGATAACGCCAAGATCATCGACATCAACCGACGAGGCTGTCCGGTCGGCTGGGAGCCGCCCGAGATCGCCGCCAAGATTGAAAGCAACCAGAGGATCTCCATGTACATCGGGGTCAAGTCGGACCTGTTCCAGCTGGGCATGACGCTCTGGGCGTTGGCCATGCAGGAGGACGAGCCCGAGCGCCAGAGTCGCCCGTTGGTGCTGCCTGCTGACGCCAAGGTCCCGGAGTACTATCGCAGACTGGTGTCGCTCTGCCTCAGTCCCCGGCCGCAAGACAGGCTGTCAGCGAAAGAACTCCTGGCCTTGTTCCCCTCGGACCTGCCCGAGGACGAGCCCAACTCGGCCACTCTAGGGTCGGACCGGACGACGGGGCCCCCGTTTTACGATGCCTCCGAGACGTCCGTCGACCAGAGCGTTTGTCTGGATCATCATCACCACCATTACCACCATCACCACCATCATCCCAACATGCTGTACGTTCCGCCGACGGATTACGGAGATGAGAATTATCCGTCTCGCGGCCGACATCCTTCCACGCATACGCTCCATCTCAGTGATTACCATCTGTCAACCTACCTACCCTCTAGTGCATCTTCGCAGCGGGATCGACGGCAATCGATCTCGCAGAGTGATTTCGAATCCCAGGTGATTCCCCAGGACCCGGGCCAGGAGCCGCGTTTCGAAGAAGTCGAGATCAACGGGACGCCGTATCTGGTGCACCCGGATGCTTTTACCGCTGAAGAGTTCCAGGCGATGAGAGACCAGGTGCATCAGTCGCACCACGCGCAGGACGTCCAAAGCGCGCAGAGCTCCGGGTTCAGCCGCGTCGTGGTGCCGTCGTCGACCGGTGATGCTGGCAAGGAGAAGGAAACCGAAGGAGACTTGGATCCGGGTCTGGACGCGCGGTACCGCGAGTCGAAATCCGGCCACGGCAGCGAGCAGCTGGAACCGTTTCAGATTGGGGCTCTTTCGGGGGATCTTGCAGGGGTGGGTGGCCACCCGGCGTGCTCTCTAGAGCAGAAGACTGGCGGTGACGCAGCGGCAGCTGTTGCTACTGCGAACCAAGTATTCGAATCGCAACCATCATTATCGACCATGCGGTCCCTAGACACGGAAGTGCAGAGGGCGGTAGAGCAGCAGCCCGCAGACCTTGCGTCGAGATATTACAACAGTAACAGCAATAGTTCGCTACTCGACTCGCAACTACCAATCAATCCCGCGCTTCCGCAGACACCATCACCACCACCGCCAAAAACCGAACAACGACCAGCCGGACCTCCATCGCGGACCTCGTTCCTCCTCGACTCGAGATTACCCATCAATCCAGCGTGTTCGACCATCTTCTTCGACAGTCCGTATCCGGCGGCGTCGCTGTCTGCGCATTTGTCTGTGTAGAAGCCCCTACACAGGAATTTGATTTAACACGATACCCAAATACAAGTACCCTCAACCAACCGGTCCGTCTGGTCTGGTCAGTTTTTGTGACTGGCTGGCGATGTATGTATGAACACGCACGCTATTTATTGATTTTTGCTTCTTTTCAGATGTTTTCTATCTACATTTTTTTTTCTTCTCTTTTTTTCGGCAACGAATCGAATGGAAATCACCATTACGAAAAAAATAACGACAGCGAATAGGGTCGAATCGAATCTCCAACATGAAATAAAAATAAGAAAAGAAAAAGCAAAAGAAAAAGACCACAGAAAAGGAAGAAAGAAAGAAAGAAAAGAAGAAGGGAAAAACAAACTATCAACTATCGAACAATTCAATTCAGGGAGTTC